GGCATAGCAGTTATGCTGGAACACACACACACACACACATTCACACACATCCATTTTTATATAGATATTTGTTTCTGAGGTACCTTTCTTAAAAATACTTTTATTGTGAGCTGCCCAAAATCAGGGAATTGGGCAGCAAACAAATTTATTAATAAACGTTAGAAACAGACCCATTAAAATTAGTAAAACATACCTTACACACATGAACAAAGCCACCATTACCTCTGTTTTAGCAATAATTATATTATTTTTGTTTTTTGCAGTTGACAACATATGGTACTCCAAAATTTGTAAAAATAATGCATTTTGATGGAGATGAATCCTAACGTTGAATTTTGTTCAACCACTGCCTTTTTCAGAATGCTGTAGGAAACTGCTTCTTGACAATACTTATTTTTTGACATTAGCTGCTTGTGTAATATTCATTGCAAGACTATGGATGAATCCACAACAGAAATTGGTGTGATGACAAAGTAAAGTATCTAGTGCTAGTATATTTTTCTAAAAAAGGAACATTAGGGGGGTAGTTAAGTATATAATATTGCATGTTGAGCCCAAATAGAGATGGAATTCAGTTACAAGTCCTTTCTTCAAAACATTATTTATAGTTGTTTATATAGAAGTTAAGAAAATTGTATAAATCTAAAAAAGGCACAAAAAATGTAACAACTGAATTAATATTTTCAGTTTTCACAAATGCATTTTCCTTGTTTTCCACTTGATGGAGTAATAGGACTTGATTATAAGAAGTTATTTTATTTGTGACTTGTGTCAAAGAAAAAGTACATGGATGTGTAAAAGTATATTTGGTTTCCATTCTATTGCTATCTCACTTAATTTGTCTCATAATCTTGGCTATTTAATTAGTTGGCCAGTGTTTTTGCTTTTCTCCTCTCCCCACCAAATAGATTTTTGGTGTGTGATATTATCAGTCCATCATCATTAGTTTTATTTTTAAAACATCTTTCCTATATTAATCTTTTATACAAATAAGGATGTACAGATTTTATATTGTAAAACCAGCTGTAATTCATATCACCTGTGAAAGCAAGTCTACAGTTTTTTTCACACCTAAAAGAACTTGTTTGAAATGTTTGTTTCAGTAAGTACCCTTTGATTTAATGTGGATGTCGATATTCAACTGCTTTAATATGCTTGTAAAATCTTTGTCACTTCTCACTGATAGGAAAGTATGTGATCAAATATGAATGTTTAGTTTTAACAATTTTTACACGCTTGTGCAGTTGTGTATATTATGTTGGTTCAAAATAATTAATTTTGATATGATTAACAAAGTATATTGCATTGCTTGTATAGTAAGAGGTGTTGTTATAAACAATAAAGGTTTTTTTACCTTTCATACATATCTTAGGTTTACCTTTTGATAAATAGTTGTTTTGTGACTACAATAGCAGATATTTTATTACATTGTCCAAACTCTGCTCTTAAAAGTCTGTCTGCAGATTTTGGCCAAAAAATTGCCTATTCCTTTAATTTTAAAAAAGGTAGATCTAAAAGCTAGCAGTTCAATGTACTAAATGCTATTCTAGTAGAAAAAATGTTGTAATTGAAAGTATACAGTACTTGTTCTTTGTATATAAACTGAGCCTTAATCTATCTAATCCTTCGTATCAACAAAATAGGGACACATTTGCCAAAAATAGTTCCCAGTGATGAGTTGACCAGATGTTTTCTGAGATGTAGATACTCTGCAGATGTGGTAGGCAGATATTATCATTTCCCCATTAGAAATACAAGAATTAGTATCCCTTAATTTCTGGATCAGCTATGGTTAAAGCAACAGAACAGAAACTAGAAGACTGAGTTCTTGTTTCAGTTTAGGCATGAAAGCTTCTTGGGTAACTTTTGGCCAGTTACTTTCTCTAAGATAGACTGTCAAACTCAAGGCCCGCGGGTCAAATGTGGCCCACGGGATGCTTAAATCTTGCCTGTGGGCCCAGCCTGGAAATAGCAAAGGACTGGCCCACAGTGCCTCTGCTAGCAAAAATGGGGCGCGAAGGGGTGTGTGCGCCCCCACCGTGCCCCATTTTCAGCCTGGGCGGCCTCCTGCAGCACTCTGCCAGTCAAAATGGGGTGCAAGGAGCCATGCACACCTCGTTTTGCCCAGCAAAGTGCTTCAGGAGGCATCTGTCCCATCTCACCCCCCCACATACACACCTGGCTGGCTGCGGAGGAGAATTACAGTACTGATTAGGCCCTCAAAGAAATCCAGTTTGACACCCCTGTTCTAAGACCAATTAATCTCATAGAGTTGTTATTGTAGAAAATGGGGAGGATGGAGTACATTCACTACCCTGAATTATATATAAAAATAGAAAAGTGAGATAAAAATACTTTTTTTTTACTCAAAATAACATTAGGGCAAACTCAATTTCACTGAAGGCTGCATCAGGGTTGAGTTTGACTGTGGGGGTGTGTGTGGCCAAGGTGTGTGTGGTCAGCTCAACATCACTTATGTCAGGGGTGCCTATGGTGGCCCAGGCGGAGCTGGGGGAGTCCATTGCTGAAGAACGGAGGAAGTAGAGACCATAGAGAACAACAAACTCTTATCCTCCAGAGGAGCCTCATCATCCCTCTCAGGCCATGCAGAAAGCTTCCAGATGGCAACACAGGCTGTCCAGAAGCCTAGGCAGCAGAGGGCAAGCACCCAGCCTGGCCCCCAAGCTCCCAGGCACTGCAAGCCCACAGCCCAGCTGAACACCGCTTCCCTGAGGACTGTGCTTACCTCCTAGGTTGCTGCTGTTATTCTCATTCTCCTTGGTGAGGTTGCTCAGGGTGTGTACAGGAGGGCAAAGTGTGTGGGTCAGTGGGAGGCCCACTCCCTTCTCCTTCCAAGGAGACCCAGCTTTGTAACCAAAGCATCCTCAGCAATAGGATGGAAGACCAACAGATGTCAGGAGGAGGAGACGAGGATGGCGAAAGGGCAACAGGGTCACTGATGGCCAAGTGCGAAGGCAGGATTTCTTTAAAAACCTCCCTCCCTCTCAATATAATCTTCCTTCCTTCCCTTTTTCCCATTTCTTTTTCCTTCCCTCTTCTTTCTTCTTCCTTCCCTTCTTTTTCCTTCCTTGCTCTCATCCCCTTTCCTTCTTTTTCTTTCCTCTTCTCCTTTTGTGTCCCTTCTTGGATGCTCACATGCAAAAGGGGAAACATTTCTCAATGTCCCCTTGCCTTGTGATCAAATGCCACTTTTGCTAGTAGTTTGTTTTGCTAGCATTCTGCTAGTGAAAATGGAGCTCAGGATCACCACATTTTTGGCTGCGACAGTTCCTGCAGCACTCTGCCAGAGAAAACAAGCTCTATTTCCTGCTGCGATGGACTCCTACTGCTCTCTGTCAGTAAAAACTGAACCCAGGAGAGCTGTGAAAGCCTCCTGAAGCGCTTTGCCAGTGAAAACAGAGCTCAGGAGGGCTACATGCATTTTCGGCTGCACCAGCCTCCTGCAGTCCTCTATCAGCAAAAATGGAGCTCTGGAGGGCCACATATGGCCCTCCCAAGTTCTGTTTTCGCTGGCAGAGGCACCACGGGCCAGTCTTTCACTGCTTTCAAGGCGGCTCTGTGGGACCCATCTAAGCATCCCATGGGCCTTGAGTTTGACAACCCTGATCTATGAAGATACTGGTGTTACTGCCTTACAAGAAGGCTAGGAACATAAAAGTTTAAGCATGTATGGTTGCATAGCAAGAAACAGGTGTTTATGGTGACTGAATCATCTTTCCATACTGCAATATAGAATTTAATCTCATGGTCTGTTTGTCCCCATGACCATTGCTATTAACTGCAATAATTTTTTCAGCTACCCACATTTTTCAATTCTTTTATTAGCTATTCCACACATTAGGTCACATTAGGTAACGATTTTGAGAAGTGATTGTGTGATATCTAAAAGTAGTCAATTTTGACAGCCAGTTATTAGGGAAAGACTAAAAAAACATTTTAAGCATTCTGATACTTAGTTGACATGATAATTCATTAGGAATATGCTTGTATATTTTTGTCTAGAGGTTGGGTATTGGAAGTCAAGTAAGTGACTTGGGGCCAGTCATTCTCCTCAGCCCTTGGAACATTGCAATGCAAACCACTTCTATAAACAGTGCCTAGAAAACTGCATAGACTTGTTTATTTATTCACCTGAAGTCAAGTCTAACTCAGTCAAACAAAAAGAGAGGAAAGGCTCCTATATTTTACAGGTCCTTCTGAGTATAACACCGATCAGTGGTAGGGGAGGTGTAGATAGCAAATTACTATTTTTTCGATAATTTTAGAACTAGGGATTGCTCAATGAAACTATTAGTGATAGTTCAGTGTGAGTAAATAAGAGTGTGTGTGCACGTGTGCATCTTAAAATGAGATTGTTAAGCAAAGGCCATCAACGCCAAATACAGAACTAATTAAAATACATTAAAAAGATGTGGATAAGCACTAGTACAGAGCCATTAAGACAGATAGTATTTGGCTTGCAATGGCAATTGAACCCAAGTTGCCATTGCTTAGTAATTCTGGAAGCCTGATTGCTGTTGTTAAGTGAGGACCTCATGTGACTTTTGACTTCCTGCTAGCTTCCCCATTGACCTTACTTGTGCAAAGCTGGTTGGATTTTGTGAGCATGTGACCATGGCTTGCTACAGTGTTGTAACTGTGTGCTGTGACCATGGGGACATTGTAGTGACTGGAACTTTGAGGACAAGTCTTAAGTATCATTTGTTCAGCTTTATTGCAATATTGAACAGTTACTGAAGAAATATTTATAAACGTAAGAATAACGTGTACATCTTTTTTGCATTCATATGCTGAAGCTGTACTTTCTCTTCATCTGTTGCCACACAGCAGTATTTTGTTAAACCAATTAATCAAAAGTATATTTTGTATAAATTAAGGAGTCTTTTAGTCTTTTATAGTGAGATATTGCAGCCTTCCTCTTGTCTTTGAATCATTATCTTTTGAAGTTTATCTGCTTAAACTTTTAAAATGTGTTTTAGTGAACGCATTCAGCAGGTATACAGGGAACTGAAGAGGGAGATGTCTAATTTGCATCTGGTGACTAAAGTGCAAGCTGAGATGCTGAAGAAACTGAAATTGATTCCATCTACAACTAAGAAAGGCAAGTACATATTTGCGTAGTTAAAAATCTGAAAACAATGCATAGAATTGTTGAAATTTTGAAATGCAGCTTGTTACTATATCTTAACTCAATTATATCAGTTTAGACTGATAGGTCTCATTTGTATTGTAATTCCAATCTGCTTTCTTTCTGTAGCTGATCAACCTCACACAAAGATGTTGCTGATGCTGTTTTCCATTTTATGCTGTATTCTCTTGTCATTTTCCTCTCTCAATCAGATGTTATCTGTATAAGGCTGAGGTGTTAATTGTATTTGACCCTTTATTGCAACTATTTTATATTTTTAAAAACATCACATAACTCTTCAGTTTTCAAATGTACTTTTACACACAGTTAACTTTTTAAGAATATAAAAACAAAAGCTATCATTTATTACCTTTTAATATGGTAATTTTTAATCTTAAGCTTCACTTTATACACAATATTTCTACAGAGAAAGTGCTTTTGATAATTAGATTGCAAACTTATTTTTAAATGGAAAATTCTTGACTGCTCAGGAAATTTTTTGCACTCTCAAAATTCTTTAAGTCACACTCTTTCTTCCAAGATTGAAAAGCACTTGAATAAAAATTGTTATGTTTTTATGTTAATGGAAGCCAAATTAAATATGTATATTTAATTGGCCCATGATGATGTCATAAGTGAAATAGATGAAAATTGCACTTTAAAATGAATTTAAGGGAATGTACAGTACTCTAACTCTGGTGTATTAAAAGTAAAAAAGGCCATCCATAAGGTACCGGTTATATAGGAATAAATAAGGGAACTGATCAAAGAAAGAACAAGGTTCCTACAATCACATGGCAGTAAGAGATAAATTTGTAATTAGAAGAACAGATATCTACTAAGTACTGTTAATAGCATCTGAATTTTATTAAGTGTAAATGATTCACAGTAGCCCCCAAATTAAATATATTTGGTTCTTTCCACAGTGCCATCCTATACCTCTGTTCAGCGTATTGAAGATCTTGAAAGGGATGCTACTAACCTCCACTTAGGTGCTTCTGGAGCAATATGCAGAAATAGATTACTTCAAACAAGTGGTGATGTTTTTGGTAATCTTGCATCATCCTCACCATGTACTAATGAGAAATTTAGTTCTGCATGTGACTCTCCATTTCTGGAACATAACTCCTATGGAAAAAATTCTCTGGAAGATAATTCTTGGGTATTTCCAAGCCCTCCAAAACCTAGTGAAACAGTATTTTGGGAAATGAAAAACAGAGTGACTCACTTAAACTTTCCAGGAAATAACTTAGATCAATATAACCAAAATTGCTTGCATAAGAGCTAAGAGCAGAAGGAGGAACTTGAAAGTAGTCCTCAATAAGGCCTTGAACTTGTTAGTAGAAAATAAGAATGGAGAGGAATATAATCAACTTTCAGTCTGCATGAGATTTTCCCTGTTATCTAAACTTGAAAAACAGTGAATTCAAAGAAATATGGTGAATGAATCTGTTATTTTCTCAATTTTCTGATTGCACATTGGCAGATTTCTAAAATATTAAATTGTGGAATAAAACAAAAACATCATGTGGTATGAATAATATTGTTCCAAAGTATGTTACATTCAAAAATTTTGACAAGCTATGAGAAGGATTTAGTTTTTGGACAAGTTTTGATTTAAGCTCGGGTAATAATATATTCAATTCTGAATATATTCAATTCCCTGGCTTTTGTATGATATGCTGAAAAGGAGTAAATAAATTATGTAGAAATTACTTTCATTCCTTTTTTCAATTTATCAACTTATCCTCATTACCCTATGATAAAAAAATTGAAATAGGGTAAAATGGAAAAGGTTCTAAATGCTGCAGTAAAATATTTCATCACTTCACAAATAATATTGTGTATTTATTGCTTCTTTTAGGGGGGATTTCCTGTCCAAAATGCAGTGATTGTTTTGAGGTGAAATATCCAGGCTCCTTAATACAGCTAGGAAGAACTGTAATATTTCAAATATTGTAATATTTCTATGATTCCACATTTCTGATATATTCTATACTAAAGAAGATGCATTTGATCCAAAATACTGGGTCCATTGGTAACCTCATTATTTAACAGCATTGAAATAATTTTACATCTTTTCTGTCTCATTTTATTAGCACTAAATTTCGGTTGAACTCGTATACTCTTAAATCATTAGAGAGGCTTTTATCAGTATATAAGTAGGTAGATTTCTAACAATAGTTTTATGTTCCTGGTATTTTGAGATGCTGAAACAGCAGGGGAAAAGGTCAGAAGGACCTGACAATATAATGATGGACCAGCTGCAAGTTTTGTTTACTTCAGTGCCCAAATCTCATCTGGTCATTCCCATATGTACAATTCATGTATTCTGCCATTTCCCATTTGTTTCTGAATGGATACTTGAAAGATGAATAGAGAAAAGTAAAATCTATACTAGAAAAAATAATTGTATGTTCCTGAAAGATAAAACTTTACATGTGGTTGTGTAGATGAACAGCACAACCATATCAGTGCTATCTTTCCTTTCTTCCTTTGCATTGCATTTGATATAATTCAATACTGGTGCTTTCTATCTTATATTACTAAAGAGAATATAATCTATGGAGGCAAGTGAAAGCATGGAGTTTTTTTCCTGTGTTAATGAATGGCACACATAAATAATGTTCCTCAGATTTTTTAAAATCTTGTCTTGTTCATCTTACCTTGTCTGTGATTAATGGAAATGGTGCCATGCAGGAATTTATTCTGACAATGAACATAGCTGACTCATGGGAGTACAATCCTCTTGTAGAGTAATAGAACAAACCCAATATGCATATAGTAAATCTAAGCCACTGATTTCAGCTGATAGAACCAACTACCTGTGTAATAAAAAGAAGTAGCAGTAGCCATTTCTCATGTGGCTGCATAGCTCTAATGTTTCTCAGGACTGCTTTTTTTGGATTAGATATTGAATAAGTTACCATTATTCAACATGCCAAGCCACTTGTTTTTAATGAGAGAGGATACAGCCATGTTTTTAAATAATTTGTTTTTGTTTGAAACAATTGGATGAAAATTGGTAGAAATCTTTTTTTATTTTGAATGCTCTGCACTGTATATTCACCTATACTAATTAGAATCTTAAATTTGAGCAAATTCTGATTATAACCCAATTCTGTATCTGAGTGCAAAACAAAATCTGGAGTGGTTTCATTGTTATAATTAGGAATGTGTAAACTTCTTTCAATTTAGGAATATAGCATTCTCTTCCCCTTCCGAATCAAGACATTCTTAGGGTAGAAAGGCTTTAAATTGACACTAACATTTAATTATTTCATTTATATATCTAAAATATCTTACTTAAAATTTATATTTTTAAAGAGATCAAAATGGAATACATTAGAAAAGGAAGTGAAGAAAAAAGAAAAAAAACTCTAGTACCAAATATAAAAGATTAGGTGAATCATTTCTAATCAGGCCTTTTTTATGAGTTGCTCTGAGACACGGAAATGATATTTTAATCTCTTAAAACTCCTTGATACAGAAACCCTATATTAATGTGGTTTTTCTTAAATGAAAGGAAACCTAGATGGCTAATTCATAGAAAATAAACATTTTTTTAAATCTGAGAAATGGTCACTTTTAGATTCTCACTACATTAAAAACTGAGTTCAAAGTCATGAAGTATCATGAAGCATTCATGAAATTATAAATCTGCTTACAAGGTAAATTTAATTAGAGTTTGCCTCCTAACTTACTGGTGCTAATGAAAAGATAATATGTTTTCTTTCAAGTTTCATGCAAATAGCACCATTTGAAAAATTATTTTGAGCTGACAATGTACTCTCGGAATGAGAATTTCTAGTGTTTGTCATAAGTAATAACTAGATTTAAAGATCAGCTATTTCTTGAAATAGCAGTCCCAAACTTTCTGGCTTGGCAGATCAATGGAGGTGGAGGGGGATAGTTCCATGTGAGCAGCAGGTGTACATATGAGTGTGCGCAATTCCATTTGCACTTGTGAGGATGAGCTTAATGTGCACAACTGCATTTGCACTTGTGAGGGTGAGCTTCATGTACAAGAACGAGTGTCCATCATTCATGCAAATGGAGCTTTGTGCATTGCCCAGTTCAAACAGGCCATGGCCTGGTAGTGGACAGTAGCCTGGGGGTTGGATATCCCTTATCTAAAAGACAACAGCATTAAAAGGATAACATCATTTTTTCCTTTTTTTTAAAAGCCCTGTGGCTCAATTTTCTGTAAACTCTCTAACTTTTTTATATTGATAGTCTGCTGATGCTTTTTAATTGGCTGAAATTGTAGCAGAACCCAAGAGCTAACAGGTTGCACGTGCACACCAAAAAGTTCAACGTCAAAGACTAGACTTTTTATATCTTCAGGAAATATATATGTGCATGTATACACATCCAAAACTGCTTGCAAGCTAAACTGCAGTACGCTGTTCATGCAATCTGCCCAATTGTTTGCGGACTTTCATATAGCAAAGTTCAGAGAAAAGCAATTTTCAAGGCAGACTTTTGTCTGACCATATGTTTAAATGTTCTTTCAACACTTCCTTGCCCCATTCATCCTGGCTAAAACTGATAGCAACAGGGACTTGACTTATCTCTGCTGCACTGTTTAGAAAAGTTTGAAAAAAGCAACCAAATCAGAAGTCATAAAATAGTTGCCTAACTGTAGGAGTCAGAATGGACTGTGTTTTGTTTTTCATACACAGCACACTCAGAGCAGTAATTAAGAGGGCAGGTTCCAAAGGCATAACATTTTATAGCTCAATATTCTTCACTGATCAATCTTTTGCTGCCCTAGCTCCTTATTTCAGATATCTTTAAAAAAAGGGACCATCTATTTTATATATAGTTACTCAACCAGCTGATTAATTCAAAAGAATGTGAAAGCTGGAAATTCTTTGCCATGTGCATAGATTTCTTTGCAAATGAAATGAGGGAATAAGTATATAACAATGAAAAATCAGTTAACTTTCAGTCTTTATATACTGCTTACTTAATATGACATAAGTGGTACAATGTATTTTGTGATATAATATACTTTGTTAGGGGGAAAAGCAAAACACTAAAATTCATAAAGCATTATTTTCATATATATTGGATGAGAAAAAAAATCCCTGAGAATCATTTTTACCATATATATTTGAAAAGGGCTGCATAAGAAGTTAAATAGAGAAACATTTTTTTGTTATTTGATGCTCTTACAATAGCCCTTTATAAAGGTCAACCCCACATTATAAAGCTCATTCTGTTTCCCACTTTTGTCTTGGCTTTCACATCACCTATACTCTACATTTTGAAGGTAGAATAGATGAATATCAGATGTAAGGTAATGTTGACATTGTCTTCATTCTTCAAATATTGTATTTTAAATTTCTCACAAATCCAAGATCTGCAAATGGAACAAAATTTATTTCCCTAAATACCATTTTTCCTGAAAATAAAACTATCTGGAAATAATCCCTAGAGTTTTTTCCATGTGCGCCTAATATAAGCGCTGCAGCCAAAATAAGCCCTACTTAAGAGCTTGATCAGCCAGACGGCCGGCTATTTTGTCTGGTTGCTCACAGTGCCGCAGCCATGAGGCAAGGCAAGATGGCAGAGTGTTGCTGCTCCCATGCCCAATTAGAAACCTGTTTTCCATGTACACAAATGCCTCAATAATAAGAGCACTAGAGCCTTAAAAGCAAAGCACAGTTTGGTATTCAACATCTCATTACTTCATGTGTAACTTAAACTAATCAGCCAACTTATAGTCAGTAAGGAGCAGGCTGAGCTCTGTTATTCCTGTCCAAAAGTACATATTTTCTTGATAAGAGATATTTACTGATGCATGTTACAGAAAGATTAGCAGAATGGCTTATTTTCATATTTAACAAGCAATTTATATAGATAGCCCTCAATGTATGACAGCAATTGAGCCCAAAATGTCTGTTCCTAGTGAGACAGTTTGCTTTATTTTACTATCTTTTTTGCCACGGTTGTTAAGTGAATCACTATAGTTGTTAAATTAGTAACACGGTTGTTAAATGAATTTGACTTTCCCATTGACTGCTTGTCAGAAGGTTTCAAAAGATAACATGCATGGCAACTGGGACACTGCAACTGTCATAAATGTGAGTCAATTGCCAAGTATATGAATTTTGATTTGTAACCATGGAGATGCTGCAATGGTTATGTGAAAAACAGTCATAAGTCACTTTTCAGGGCTGTTATAACTCTGAACAGTCACTAAACTAACTTATAAGTCAACAACTATCTGCATTCTGTTGTTTTTTGAACCATTCATTTCCCTTCCTAAAAGCTTTCCAATAGCCTTCTTAAATTCAGTGATTATTAGATGGGTTGGGACTTCAAAATGAGGATTATATTTTCATGTATCTAACACTCATCAGGTAATCTGTAGGAACTCTTCTCAAGCAATTCTACTTTTAAAATTTTGTGTGGAATTTCTCTAAAAGATACTCATTCAGATGTATCATTCTTTGGAGGACATTCATGTGACAAATCAAACCCTAATAGGTAGTTAGAGAGCGAAGAAATCTTGCAAAGGACCTCTGCTCTGTTATTAATCACGTGCAACCAAATATTTCACCTGTGATAGAATCAAAAGTGGAATGCCATTAACATTAAAAAAGAACTATTGGAATCAGCACACAATCTTCCCTTTCCAAAGAACTCCATTCTATCGTATTTTAAATATTGTAAAATTTATATTGTCCAAATAAATAAGAACAAAAGATGTAGATTTATTTTGCGGTGTCCTGAAAAATAGGTATATACAGTGACTGAATGTGCTGCATGTGCTAAATGAACTGAGGAATTACTTCTGATTTACTAAATTGAATAGCCAGATTTGATTAGCATAGGCATGTTCTTCAGGATTTCTGTATTTTAGTTTCATTTATTTTGAGAGATTTAGACTAAAGAAATCAGAAAGAAGTTGCTGTGCTTACATAAGTTCAGGTTTCAAATGTCAGCCATACAACTTGCCTAGGAGCTAGTAGAATGCTCCTGATGAGGAACACCTTGTGCTGCCCTGTGTTCTTCCCTGGTTTTCAAATATTCAGCCTTGCATTCTTCATAAAATGCTGGATCACTATAGCTAAAAACATAGGCAAAATATGTGTATTAATTTATCCACTCAATTACATGGAAAAGTAATAGAGCAAGAAGGAATAGTGCTGGGAACCCTCTTAACGCCAACTATTTAAAGCAGGGGAATCAAACTCTATTTCATTGAGGGCCGCATCAAGATTGTGTTTGATCTCGGAGGTCCAGGGGTTTGTATGGCCATGGATGGGTGTAGTCATAATGGGCTTGGGCATGGTGGGTGTTTGACACACACTCAAGGTGCATTTTTTCTCCTTCTTTCCACAGTTCTTTGCTATAAACATTTTCTTATCTCTTTTACCAGATATTACTGGCAAACATATTACTTATTCTTCATAATCCACTAAACCTTTTATTTCTAAATTTATACCCCTTGTTTAATAATAAATTGCTTTTTCAGGCAAAAAAGATATTTATAATATTGTATTTTTATTATTCAATTAATTAAAAAAATACAATAGCATAAATAACATGATAATTGTCCTAGCAAGACCTAACAGCAGAAGTAAATTTCTAGAATAGTAAATAGAAATGGCTGTCAATTATAGATTGCTGATTAAATGGATCTACAGTATGTAAAATCTGGCATTATTAACATAGGATGTTGCTTGTTTTCTATCCAGAGACTACGCTTAAGAGACTACACTTAAGACTACGTAACTGTAATCCAGTCCAATCCAGTCCTCCTCCATCACTCTACTAGCCAAAAATGGGTCATGCAGAGGCCCTGCATAGCCTGTTTTCAGCCATTAGAGTACTGCTGGAGGCTGCAAACAGGCCACACAGGAACCTTGTGGTGCTTCCGCATGGCCCATTTTCAGCTGGCAGAGTGCTGCTGAAGGCTGTGGAGGCCAAAGAATGGGCTGTGGGAGGGGGGGTTATGGTGCCTCTGTGTGGCCAGTGTACCCCTCACACCCATGTCCTATGGAAGGCTTTATTTGCAAGTTCTTTGCACGCACAAACATTTTCCCTGGGTCTGGAAGCCAAGTAGTTGTGCACAAACACGAATGGGAAAATTCAAAGTAGCTACTATATGTTGAACCTTTTGGAGGATGTGGATGTCACAATAAACCATGGAAGGGAACAATGTTAGGCCTTGTGAAATGTTTTGCAAAGCCCTACTATGGAAAAATCATAGGCATGAGTGAACAATTTTGTCTATTAAAATAAAAGCATATAACCCAGCAGGTACAAAATTCAGTAATGGAAGAATATAAACTTCCCCACGGGAAAGAAAAAGAAAACAGATACTCCTCATTTCCTGACCAACTATTTTAGTGATCTAAGTTATGATGGCACTGAAAGAGGAATCTATGACAGGTCTTAATGGTTATAGCTATCACAGCATCTCGACAGTAACTTGATTGTGATTAGAGTGCTGGGCAACTGATTCACAATTATGATAGTTGCATTATCCTGTAGACACATGATAGCCATTTGTGACTTTCATTGCTGATAAAATCAATGGGGAAGTTGGCAGGAGTTTGCAAATAGTCATGTAACAATTGCAATTGGAAGGGCCACAACTGCTGTCCTAAGTTTTTGCAGTCATATGATGTTGTGCTTTACATTCATAAGTTAACCCTTAGTTGTTGATCCTAATTACCACGATTAAGCATTTGTATTCTATCCAAGATGGAATTCTCAATTATTTAACAATATATTAGCCTGTAACCAATTTCTGGTAAACAGTATAAGTTTCATTAACAGAACCTGATACATTTAATTAAATTTACATTTTGTCTTAGTTTACCTTTTCCTTTTTTGTTGTAATATCTGACTTAATCCTCCATAGTAGTACAGAACATTTCAGATCCCTTTACGAAACTGAATTTCCATATTGACAATCTTAATGCAATTTTAAAAACATTTAAACAGTTTAACTTTGGTGTGTTTTTTTAAATGGAAGAATCCCTGTCCAATACTTGCCTCCCCCCACCCAAGACAAAATCTTATTTACGTAAACATTTTTTCATTTTTCCTTACAACACAGGATTTTTTTAAGTTATCTGTTTGATTTTGTTTAACATTCCCTTAATGCTCAGTCAAGTCAAATCATTTTAAAAATAGAGACACCATACATAATTATCTTTCATATATCATAAACTTTCTGAATAAATCTAACAATTCTACAGCTTTCAAATATATGCAATAAATAAATCATTTTGGTCTTAAGAGAATGAAGCTGCCATTTGTTTCCCTAATGTGTTAGGCAGACAACTCCCATTATCATAGACCACTATAATCCAATTAGCTGGAGATGCTGAAAATTGGAGTTTAACTTGACTGGACAATGGCTGTGATACAGATATTCCTCCTCAAAATATCCATCATGAAGAGTTGTATTCTTTTATGAAGAATCTGCTACACTGATGGCAACAAAAAGAACAAATGGGGGGAAATGATAGGGAACAATTAAATAAAAAACAGTGCTAGTTATCTCGTGTTCTGATATAGATTTTCCCAACTTAAAGCCTTAGATTTGTCAGCTAGCCAATACAATGTTAATATCGAAGAATTAAAGCAACATCTGTATCATACCATTTAAAAAAACCACAACCCAGCAATGGATGCTTTGAAGGGTGGATATTTCCCATTCAGTGCCTTTATACTTACTAGCCAGTGAGACATTCTTTCAGCAGTTTGTTTTCCTTTTGGCATTTTATCACCATAAGAAAACCTGTGTCTTTGCAACATTTGGTAAAGTCTGAAAAAAAACAAAGAGATGCAAAGTGGTTATGCTTCAGCACAGGAACAGGTTAATATATCCTCATAAGAATGATCCTTATTTTTGTGATTGGTGCTTAAATTATTCATTTATAGTAGAAGTTCCTCCTACTTATTATTACATTATAATATAATATCATACATTAAAGAATGTGCGATAACATGGGCTAAGAATTTTTGTTATACTATATAGATGAATCAGTGGAAAATGTTATTAACGGATTGAAATTTACATTGTTATATTAAAACGATTTTTTATAAAATGGTGCATCATTGGTATATGACGTCAAGAGAAATTATCCAGAAGGTATAAAGGCATTTCAAATGTATGCTCAAAATATGAACAATGTCCATCATGTCTGGTGCACAGTAAAAAAGCTTTAAAAATGGATTCAATTATATGTATTGATAGATAGTTTTAAATAAATAATTAATTGAATCTAGAACATTTCTTTTAGGATTAATGGGTAAACAGAAAAGAGTCTTATAAGATTATTTCAATTTTTCTTTACTGTGATGAGATTACTATATGCACTAAGTTGGAAATATTTGATATTATTGATAGAGGAATGCTTGGTGAAATTGACAGAATTTGCGATATAGACAAATTGACTTCTTTAATTAGAGAAAGATCATTACTGGCATTCATTGGAAACCCTGTACCGGCCTTTTGTGTGAGAAAGATAAGGATTTTGTGATTTACAGTTTTAATGATTAGAAAATAAGTTATAAAAAGAATAGAGTTATGATGTAATTATGAAAGTGGTTTGACTAGAGTTATATGCATATCTGCTGATATTGGAAGCAATTTCTTTATATATTTCATGCTTTCTGTCTTTTTGCTTTTGTTTTACTTTTTCCATTTTTTTTTCTTTTTTACATTCATCCTGTTTATTTTATATGACTAGCACATTTTGTAAATGACTGTAAAACTGCCTAGAATCACCTTTACAAGATGTATGGCATAGAATTTTAATAAATAAATAAATGATTTTTTTTTCTTTCTTTGAATGTATTTGATAAATAAAAATCATCAATAAAAATTATTAGAAAAAAATATTCATTGAGAATATTTTTCTGAATGAAAATTTGGTGAATTTTGGTTTCTGAAAAGTTTAACTAAAAATGTTACTCATTTTAAAAAAGCAACATAGTAAGATTTCATATTTATATTGAATCTCTTTAATGCTGAGATTAGAGGCAAACAAGGCATAATTGGAAGGTGCTGCCAATTTCTGCCAGTAAAAAACTAGGTATGCTAATTTTTTTTAACTAAGCCAGAGTTCAGAGTCCTCCAAAGCAACCGTGTTTTATCAGAATTATCCCTGCCCATTGACATGCTGTCATGATACATAGTTGTATCCTGTTCTGGCACTAAGTACTAAAGTTACTTACATGGAAGGAAAAAAAGAAAAGAGGAGTGAATCATAGCTATGAAACAATTGTAAGCCCTGTTTTTATGGTACTTTAGTGGTTACAGTTAAAGAAACTATAGGGGTAAAAAAAACTTCTAATATTGGCACTATTAGCACCCTTCATCTACAATCAGTAGCAAACATGGACTTCCTTTATCCTATCACTCACCAGTATCTGAAATCTGCTAATTTTCTCTCTGGCAGGTCATATAAACAGTAGGAAATATACAATTCAATGATTCACATAGCAGATTTGATCCAATCTAACTTTCTGCAATCTGCTTCTCCCACTACTGATGGTAGGCATATTATCTCTGAACCTGAAAATAATATAGGCTCAGTTCATATTTCACACTGGTCATAAACATATTTTCTTTTACTAAATAGAAAGCATAAAGTTGGTATTTATGGTTTAGAGTTATCTATGAATTTATCTATGGTTTGTGCTGGCTTAGAGTGGGAGCTGATTCTTGCTTTTATCAATTAAAGGCCCTGCCCCAGGTGGGAAATCCACGGCCACTGGCAGTGCCGCCATCCTCTCTTTCCCTCCCCTCTTCCCTTCCTGGGTGTGAAGGGAGGGAGGAAGGGAAGAAGGAAGTAGACAGGAATGAGAGGGGGAGGCAGGGAAGAAAGGCGAGGGGGGGAGGAGGAAGGAGATGGAAATGAGAAGGAGGAAAGCAGGGAAGGAAGGGGGAGTGGGGAGGAGGAAGGAAGGAAGAAAAAAAAGGAATGAGAAGGAGGGAGGCAGGAAGGGAGGAGGGGGAAAGAGGAAGGGAGGGAGGGAGGGAGAATGAAATAAGGGTCTGAGGGAAGTCCTGCCTTAGCACTTGGCCATCAGCAGCCCTGCTGCACTTTTGCCATCCCTTTGCCCCCTCCTCCTGGCCTCTCCTGGCGGTCTCCCATCCTATTGCTAAGGATGCTTTGCTTACAAAGCTGGGTTTCCTTGCATGGAGAGGGAGTGGTCCTCCCTCTGACCCATGCACTTTGCCCTCCCACACCTACCATGAGCAATCTGGCCTAGGAAAGTAAGCAGTCTTGAGGAGTAACAGCCTTGAGGTGATAAGCGTGTTCGGGCATCTCCTTGGGGATGAGGGGCTGGATCCCCAATTCCAGCCTTTTCTAGGCCCCAACAGGAGGCAGAGGACCATGCTGCTGTGTGTGGAAACACAGAGGAGAAAGTTTGCAGTAAGTAGTTTCCTCCAAGTCCAACTTCTGCCTTGAACTTCTGGAAAGGAGGAGGGAGTGGGAGGGAGCTGTGTGTGGGAAGGCTGCCCTTAACAGCCAACATCCTTACCACACACAATTAGAAAGGGGGATTCCCTTTCGAGAAAGTCAGTCTCCCTCGTGAAAGACCAGAAGCACTGCTCTTCTGCCTTCTCTAGCTCTCCAGAGATCTATCAAGGCAAAGTTGGGCTCAGAGGAAACTGCTTCCTGCAGGCTTTCTCATCTGCGCTTCCACACACAGCAACATTGTCATCCACCTCCTGCTTTGCTGGGAGGAGGCACCGGACAGGGAACACCAACAATGTTTGGGAATGTGAGAAGAATGTCTCCTTTGTCATGCTGTGCACAAGCATACATGTGCACACACAAACACACCATTCTAAGCTTGGAGACTTTTATCCACATCTAAGCTTGCAACTGCCAATCAAGCTTGAGCTTGGGGAGAAGGTCCTCTCCTTCCTCTGTAGATAAAAGTGCCCAAACTTGGAATGCTGTATATGTGTGTTTATGCACACGCATGTGCTTGGCTGCCAGCAGTTTGGGGAGATGAGGAGCTTGTGTTGCACGAAATTGTCCGCACATCGAGTTAGCCAGTACAACTTGTTCTGTCCTGACCTAGTCATCCCAAGTCAGCCACGCTCAATGAGCAACATCAAGCTGACCACACCCACACAGTCATGCCCACCTGGCCGCTGTGAGTCGTCAGTCTTATATGCAACTGGCTGCCCTCTATGAAATTAAATTTGACATCCCTGGATTAGAAGGAAAATTAAACTTCTAAAATAAAAGCAGTTTTATACATCTGTTTTTCAAACAAGGATCTTTGCCCTGTAAAATCTGTATTATAGCATAAATGTTTACAACAACTTCTTAGTGAAGCATGCACAAGCACACAGAAGCATTAAAACAAAATTATTTCAAGTATTTTTTTGCATCAGTTAATTTAATTGACCAAGCTCTACTAAAAGGATACTTAAACAATAAAAATATTAATGTTAATAATATAAATATTAATTTCAGTAATGAAATTATGGAATTTCCCACAGACCTACTTGTCTCCTAGTCAATTAAAATATTATTTATCCAAGAATATAAATCTGCCTATGCATGTTTTATTTCATTAAAAAGAACCAACTTTTCTTTTATCAATAAAAGACAATGTAAAAACAGAATTACTATGGAAAAATACAAATCACAAACCAAATATAAGTAAACTTTAGAGTTTTCTTGTTCTATCGTCCACTGAAAAGCACAAGAGCAAATAAATTCTTTACAAGAACTACTGATAGCATATTAGCAACTTAGACAGTATTTAATCCTTACATTGTTTTCAAATTTGCTGAATAAAGCACCTTATATTAGCCATCTTGGAGGAAAGGATAATGACTTACTTATCTACTCATCCCTTCCATTCCTTACTGAAGAGATCTTAAAAATTTTCAGCTCTTTGATATCAGGTGAATATTATAACATTTTATTTGTAATAAATAGAAATTTCCAAATGTTGTTGAAATTTAGTGGGATTAAAGTCTTTTAAAATATCAATCATATTAGTATTTTACTACATTTTGCCAACAACAATAACCACAAACAGCTGCAGGTATTTTAATGCTTTCCTATAATTGCTTATCATAATTTTTTTAAAAAAGTTTCAAAGTGCCCAAATCATGAATCCAGGCTAAATTATATTCTGTTCAATTTCCAACTTGAATCAAAGTGGAATTCATTTGCACAGGCCCAGAAAATAACTCCTAGTAGGGGGAAGTATTTCATTTCCTCATTTAATGATGCAATCTAATCTGCAATGTTAGCCCTTCCTGGCCTGCTGCCTCAAGCTTTTATAAGCTTGTTTAGCAACAGGGTTGTAATTAGGATTTTCTTATCATACTATGTAACAAATTAACACAGTTCATACTTGACTTTCTTTTCAATATTATCAAACTATTTATGAAATTGTATTCCTTTCTAACAAATTAAAGAGTGAAAACTGTCTCTTTCATACTGCTTTCAACAAATCACACCCTGTGTGATAACACTCTTAGCCTTTGCATAGTATTCTGTATTGCTGTTTCTGATGCCCAGAATCATGTAGACTATTTGTTCTGCGGTCAGAAAGCCAGTGAAACTTCACACTGTGCAGTAAATACAACATATATTCTGTTACACATATAAATACTCTTTGACGGAAATTCTGAAAATGAGTGGCTCTCATATAGCAGACACATCAGCACTCCTATTATGCAGACATGTGCAAAAAGTGTTTCATCACACACTAGGTTACATTCTTCTTTTAGTCTTAAATTTTTTAAAGAGGAAATTGCACATCCAATCTCCTATGAGA